GCAAAAAGAAAAAAGCCGGAAGTGGCACTGTGGCTCAAGTGGTAGAGCACTAGCCTTGAGCTGAAGGGCTGAGGGACAGCGCCCAGGCCCAGAGTTCAGGCCCCACAACTGGACCCAAAAAAAAAAAAAAAAAAAAACAAAAAAAGTAGAAAGTCTTGACAGTAGGTTAAACCATACAGAAGCTTGAATCTCTGGGATTGAAGATAGCTAGACATTTTAGAGAAAGAACAGCTAAGTATTCAAAACAAATCCAACAAAGATGATAGATCCATTTATTATATATAAGAAACTATCAGAAGGCCTAATTCAGGCTAATGGTTGTAGAGGAGGGCCTAGAGACAGAAGCTGAAGGCCTAGGAAATTTATTTACCAGAATCCTAGCAGAGAACTTCCCAAACATGCAAAAAAAGGCCCATTCAGATACAATAAGCCTTTAGAACTCATGGCAACAGCCAATTGATTTCCCCTAAAAGGCTCTGAAGTTGGGTTAAGGTCAGAGAGGCTGGAATATCCAACAAAGGCTTAAGGGAGCTGGCCTAAGTCAAGGTAAGGTGGGACCCAAGCACCTTAAAAGGAGGTACCTTTTAAATTTTATTGAGGGCTATGGTAAAAAAAAACCTTTTTTAATATGGGGAGAACCTGGGCCACAAGTCCCTCTAGGCGACTTGGATCTTGGTGCCCCAGAATTATATCATCTATGTAGGCATAGACAAGGGAGGTATCTGAACCCAGCACAGGGCCTAAAACTGTGGCCAAGTACTGTTGGCAAAAGGTCGGGCTATTGGCTATTCCCTGTGGCAGCACCGTCCATTCGAACCTCTGATCAGGCTGGGAAAAATTAAGAGAAGGGATGGAGAAAGCAAACTTCTCGCAGTCATCTGGAGGCGGGGGATAGAAAAAAAAAACAATCTTTAATATCAATCACAACCAAGGTATATTCTGAAGGTATTGCAGGAGTCCAGGGCATGCCTCTTAGGGGCGTTCCTACTAGCTCCATCCTTTCAAACCTTACATCGATTTTGGAGCATACACCAAGCGGGCAGGCTTTTTGAATAACAAATATGGTGTTTTCCAAGGACTCACAGAAGGGCGTGTGTGCCCAAGGTTTATCTGTTTCTCCACCAAAAGGTGGAGGGCTACAAGTTCTTCTCTGTAATTATGAAAGTTAAAAAAAAATGGCTCAGTGGTAGAACACTTGCCTTGCATGCCTGAGGCCCTGGGTTCGATTCCTCAGCATCACAGAAACAAAAAGAAAAAAGCCGGAAGTGGTGCTGTGGCTCCAGTGGTAGAGAGCTACCCTTGAGCTGAAGAGCTGAGGGACAGCGCCCAGGCCCAGAGTTCAAGCCCCATGACCAGACACCCCCCCCAAAAAAAATTCCTTTTCCTTAACTCCCTCTAGATCCTGTTTAAGCCTTTGTGCTTCTTCTCCATCCAGGATATCATCATAGGATGCTCGATGGTCTGTAGTGACCATGGCATCCATTTGTCTTAGCATGTCTTGCCCTAGTAAATTGGCAGTGAGGTTTTTTTGCCACTAAAGGGTGTATCTTTCCCTGTTCTCCATCTGGGCTAGTCCATTTCATAAAGGCAACTGTCTAGGACTGGGAGTTACCCCCTACCCCCAATATCAGGGGCCCAGGTGCAAGCTTTCAGTCCAAGGGCACTTTCTCCTCCCTGAATATGGTTCGATCTGCCCCCCCCCCCCCGTGTCAATTAGGCAGTGAAACCTCTTTCCACCTATGAGAATACTCATTTAGGGCAGAGTCCTTCCACCAGGGGGATGGTTCAATGGGCCTGGGCCATCCTGCCACGAGGCTGCCTGGGCCTCACAGCAGAGGGGGTTCCTCTTTGAGTTAACAGGGCTGGAGGATTCCCCTCCCCTAGTTTAAAGGCTTCCCATCTAAATCAAACTTGGATCAACAATCCTTTTTCCAATGGTATCCCTTCCTGCCCCTGGGGCAGTGTGTAAGGGGCGGTTTGCCCCCCCCCCCCCGCCCAGTTGGGGGGGTGAGGGGAGGATTGTTGTAAACAGTCCCTCTTAAAGTGCCCCTCCTGCCCCCATTTAAAACAAGTCCCTCTCCCCGATGGTCTTGGAGTTCCTTGGCCCTGGGCTGCCAGCGCCTGGGTAATAGCCTCAGTCATTGCAGATGTCTGAGCCTGCAAAGCTAAAGCTAGTGATTGGGACTGGTGCTGTTGCATTCCCACATCCTGCGAGGCCACCACCCATCTGCTCAGGGAACTCTCAATCCCGCGCAGGCCTTGCAGTGGTCTGCATTCATCCCTTCCCAGACCAGCAGCTTTACAAACTGATCGCGGAGATTCCCTGCGGGCAGCTTGCTGTTAATACTCTGTTGGACTCTCTCTACAAACTCAGCTAGAGGCTCACCAGGTTTTTGTCTCACTCCTACTATGGGGGACTCAGTGGGCCCATCATCCAGTTTGTACCAGGCGGCAAGTCCTGCCTGCCTCACCTGGTTACGGTACGGGCCAGGTATTGCGGCCAGTTGGATGCTAGTGGAGTACCCTTCCCCCGTCCCTGTTAACATGGCATAAGTAATAGGTATTGCGGGTTGAGCCTGCCCGTTATTCTCCACTCGCACTCTGCATTCCTCCTTAAAAAAAAGCACACCATTTAATAAACTGAGAACTGTTGAGGACGGCTTTGACCACATCCAGCCAGTCCTTAGGGACACCCAGGTGATAAGCAATGTCCTGTAATAGGGTCAGGGCCCAAGGAGAGTTTGGGCCATCCTACACCACTGCCTTGTGGAGCTCTTTAAGATCCTTAGCTTCCCATGGATACCATTCCAAGAGTCTGTTAGCTCCTGCTGCCAGATTGACTGGGGAAGTGAATCCTGTGGCCCAGGGTCCAGGCTCCTGGGTGGCACTTCCCTTAAAGGGCAGGCCTCTGAGTAGGTTACTTCCCCAGCCGTCGGCCCCTCCATGGAAGGTTGGTAGGGGTCCCGGTCTTACAGGGCCCTCTCGCAGGTCGCGCAGGTCGCATAGGGTGCTGTACCTCCCTTCCAATCGGGGGAATAGGGAGGGGGCCTATGACCATCAGGGGCACCTGAGTCAGAGGGGGTAACTTTCACCCTCGTTTTGACCTCCACTGTGCATGTTTCAGTGCGTTCTCGGTCGAATTTGAACCATTCCTTTTCCTTCTCACTTCCCAAGTCCTCCTTTACTCCCTCTAGGCCTAATGTTGCCTCCTCCTCCTTCTTCTGTGAGATAGCATTACCCATACTAAGGGTTTCACTTACCCTGAGAGACCGCTTAGCCTGGGCTGGTATATATTCCTTTTGAGCCCCACATTGGACGACAGATGTCGGATATTCGTCCATCCCACAAAAGACAGACGGGGTCTGAGGAAAGGTAAGTGCAGCCGCTTGCCCATTCCCCAGCCTCCCTCAGCCCAGGAGACAATCGGACGCAGCGGGGAGTCAAGTCAAGCAGGAAAACTCATTTATTAACACACAGCAAGCACTTTTTAAAGCAAAAAAGACTGGGTGGCATGGGAGGGTAGGAGAAGGAACCAATCACGGTCAAGGTCACGCCCTATCATGCACCTAAACTTCCATGGGCTGGTTACACACTGAACGTAAAGCAAATCGGGCTCTGCTCACTCAACTCCCTCTCAGCGCCATCTTTGCTGCCCATGTGCCCTACACTAACTCCCAACATGACAGTATTAAGATACAGGGTTTGGGGAGGTGATTAGGTCATCAGGACTATGCTGTAATGACTGTCCTTATAAAATCAATCATGGAGAGTTTTCCCTTCTGTCACATATGGGTACAATGAAATGACAGCTGTCTATAAACCACAAAGACAGTCCTCACCAGACATGGAAGCTACCTGCTCCCTGATGTTGAACTCCACAGCCTTCAGAACCCTGAAAAATAAATTTTCCATTGCCACTCCATCTATGATGATTCATTATAGCAGCCTGAAGTGACTGAGACAGAAAGTACAGCACCGTTGAAACTACTGATAACTTGTCCATTGCTGCTTTTACTATTGTCCCAAAGGGATAGACATGAAACTTAAATATCTCTCTCCAGTTCTGGAGATTTTCAGAGAAAAGAGCATTACATATAAAGTGATTAGCCAGCTGAAACCTGGTGCTTATGAAGTGTTCTCAGGAATAATAAAATAGAAGAAGTGGCTCTGTGGCTCAGGTGGTAGAGCTCTAGTCTTGAGCTGAAGAGCTAAGGAACAACGCCCAGCCCAGAGTTCAAGCCCCACAACTGACATTTAAAAAAAAAAAAAAAAAAAAAGCTTTGGGCTGAGAAGTTGGCTCAGTGGTAGAGTGCTTGCCTTGCATGTCTGAGGCCCTGGGTTCAATTCCTCAGCACCACATAAGCAAAAAGAAAAAAGCCGGAAGTGGCGCTGTGGCTCAAGTGGTAGAGTGTTAGTCTTGAGCTGAATTGCTGAGGGACAGCTCCCAGGCCCAGAGTTCAGGTCCCACAACCGGACCCAAAAAAAAAAGAAGAAGAAAATAGAGTAAGATTAGCTATCTCTAAATTCAAACCCTTGTAACACAAAAATATAGTAAATTAGAAGACTAAGGGATGTAGCTTGGGTAGTAGAATGCCTGCAGAAAGCTTGTCCTTGTTTGTTCCTCAGCACCACACACATGCCAAGAAAAGAGAAAATGAAAGAAACTAGGCAGCTTTTAACATTTATTTTCTTCATATTAGAGTGAGTAACTCTCAGTAAAATTCCCCAACTATAATATTTAGAAACTTACTCAACTGAACTGCTTTCTGAACTTTACAAAGATCAACGAGCTATTAGCTGACGCAATAGTTCCAGCATGGCTTTGAAAGGCGAAATTTCATGTTAACCCATGGTCACAACAGCTCCTCAGATAAGCCAGTTCAAAGAGCACATTGTGCTGGGTTCCCCTGACCTGTACCGAGCTCTTACTAGAATTGGCATCACTTCAAAACCACAAGGTGAACCTGACCCATTGGAAAACCTCAATCAAGCCTTCATTTTCTTCTGCCACTTACTACCTGCCACTCTCTGGAGCTCTAAGCTGAAGATATCTCTTTCCTAGGACCACGTAAGGACTGAGTCACCAAGAGAGGACCAAGCAGAATCATGAACATTGTTCTGGATCTGCTCCTGCTTCTGCTCACCATTATCTATTCCTATGTGGAGGCACTGGTGAAGTTTTGCCTTCCCCAAAGGAGAAAATCTGTGGCAGGAGAGATTGTTCTTATCACTGGAGCTGGGCATGGAATAGGCAGGCTGACCGCCTATGAATTTGCAAAGCGGAAAAGCAGACTGGTTCTATGGGATATTAATAAGGTAAAAAATGTACCTGCCAGTCTTTTAAGTTACAAAGGAAGATGTGTTTTCTAAATGATTTGAATTAGCATCTGCTTCTCTTTAGAATTTTTCTTTTTCAATGTTTGATAAATTCCCTGGAGTCTTACTGTAAATATACATTAGATTGGTTGGTGACATATTTTTTATTTGTGCTAGTCCTGGGGCTTGAACTCAGGGCCTGGGTGTTGTCCCTGAATTTTTTTGCTCAAGGTTTTTGCTCTACACTTGAGCTACAGCTCCATTGCTGTCTTTTCTTCTTCTTCTTCATCTTCTTCATCTTCTTTGTCTTCTCTTTTTTGGTGGTTAATTGGAGATAGAGTCTGATGGAATTTCCTGCCCTGGCTGGCTTCAAAACTCAATGCTCAGATCGCAGCCTGTGACCCACTGGTACCCAGCTAAGCAGTAACTTTTTGGGGGGAGGAGCCGGTTGTGGGGCTTGAACTCTGGACTTGGGCGCTGTCCCTCAGCTCTTCAGCTCAAGGCTAGCACTCTATCACTTGAGCCATAGCACCACTTCCAGCTTTTTTCCTTTTTGCTTATGTGGTGCTGGGGAACCGAACCCAGGGCCTCAGGCATGCAAGGCAAGCGCTCTACCACTGAGCCACCTTCCCAGCCCCCTAAGCAGTAACTTTTCAGTTACAGTCTGCAGTAGCTGCCATCTGCCAAGCTGTTGAAATTAGGGCACTCACATTCTCCAGGTTCAGTTTTGTTTTGTTTTGTTTTTAATTTCTGCAATGGGAACAACTTCTTGAGGGAGGCAGAAACTACAGCAAGTTACTGCAAAGGGCCAAATTTGGTGAGTGGACATTCTGTTGAACAAAGAATAATTTTTATACTTTTTTTAAGAGTGTGTGTGTGTGTGTGTGTGTGTGTGTGTGTGTATTCACACACATGCATGCATGCCAATACCAGTACTTGAACTCAGGGCCTTTGCTCTCAGTTGGCTTTTTTTGTGGTTGGTCATGAGGGTTGTCCCATTGACATTTTCATCATTAAATTATTGTTCTCGTGATCTCTGTTGTCATGTCACATTGTTTGCTATTTTCTTAGTGATATCAAATTATCTCTTAAACTTAAGGAACACATTGTCTGCCTCTTTCTAGATGGTAGAGAATACCATTCAAGAAAAAGTTGGTATTTCTTTACTAGCAGATATAGATTTTTATGTAAGTGATGAGATGATATACAGTGCATGAAAAAATGATTTGTCATGGGTCTGGTTTTGTAAGAGATTTCTGTGAAACTTCTAGAAGAGACAAAACACCTACAAACTGAGGAAATTGTTGTCTGCTGTGCTCTGATGTTTTTTTTAAAAAATATATACATATTATAAATCTATGAACAAGACTTGATGAAATTTAATCTCCAGTCTCTTTCCAGATATATATTTTAGGGAGTGGACTTCATTTGCTGCATTTTTTATTTTAAAATTTCTAGCAATAAGTCCGACCCAGTGGCTTACATTTGTAATCCTAGCTACTCAAGGTGCTTTGATATGCGGATCGCAATTCAAAGCCAGTTCAGGCAGAGAAGGTCCATGAGATTCTTATCTCCAATTAACCACAAAAAGTCAGACGCAGAACTGTGGTTCAAGTCCCTTGAGCTCAAGCTCAGGAAAGCACCCCAGGCCCAGAGTTTAAGCACCAGAACTGGAAAAAATTCTAATAATAGGAGAAAAATGAAAATTAGAAAGAAATCCTATGTAAAAGTATTTATAAGTTCTTTTAGCCTGAAGGGCAAAGAACCCAACCTTGTAAATTCTTTTTGAATCCCTGAATTTCATGGTTAAACATTGGAGATATTCCATTATTCACTGTAAGGCTATAAACGTAACTCTGATTTTCCTTTGGACTAGGAAGGTACCAAGTGGCCTTTGTAGCTGGTTCTTTTTGCCATTTAAGAGGATAGGCACAGCCTTTTAACTAAAGTGCTGATATGGAACTCAGTGACCAGGGAAGTGAGTGCAGTCGACCCTAAAGCGAAAAGACAAGGCAACCCTTCTTGCTATGTGCTAGCTCAGTGATAACACTGGAGAATGACAAATCTTCCATCAAAGCTCATGATGCAAGTTCTCACTACTAATGCTGTTTGTGGACCTGAAATCTTAGACAAAATGCAAAGCACATAGAGGTCTGTGCCATCTGGTACCAAGCAAGCATCCAGCTGAAACTCGAGTCAGTGGGAGATGCCTAACACATCCCTCATTTCACTCCTGTAATCCAAAAATGGAAGGGATGCTGAATTTGCTACTGGATATCTCTGGGCTGCTGCTACTCCAGGGTTTAGCCTTTGGTGGTGAAATAAAAAGGACCCCAGGTAGGCAACCAGGCTAGGGAAAACCACTTGACTAATGTTAGGGGATGAACCTCAAGAACAGTACCATAGTACAATCAACCCCATAGGCAAAGGTAAGGACCTTTCAGGCATCCTGGTCTCTTCATCACAGAAAAGAGTTTGCAATTATGAGAAGAGAAAGTATAATTGGAGGTGAGGGGGGAGAATCCTGGGACTTGAACTCAAGGGCCTGAGTGCTGTACCTGAGCTTTTTGCTCAAGATTAGCACTCTATTACTTGAGCCATTTCTGGATTTCTGGAGCTTAAATGGAGAAAAGAATCTCATGGACTTTCCTACCAAGCTGGCTTGGAATGCAATCCTAAGATCTCAGTCTCCTGAGATTAGGATTACAGGGATGAAATCCTGGTGCCCCGCAAGAGAGTGTAATTTTAAAACCGGATAACCTTCCCTATAAAAGTCAATAGGTGTCAAAACTTGAGGAAAATGAAAAACAAAGTTTTCAAGAGGTGAGCACAGTGGCTCAAACCTCTAATCTCAGCTGCTGTTCCAAAGGTAGGAAAACCATTGTTCAGGGTGAGCCTTGCAAAGGTAACACAAGACCCTATCTGAGAAACAAACTAAAGAGCTGGAAATGTGGCATAAATAATAGAGCTCTTGCATGGCAAATGAAATGAAGGGCAAGAAATAAAAAAGAAAGTAAGGAAAACAAGAGGAGCAAAAATAAGGGTGAGACTCATCTGGTCGAACCACTACTAAATAACCCCATGCTGCTGATTACACGTATGGTGTATATATGTACATCGTTATATGTTATAGACCGTGATAGATTTGCTCCAGGAAAGTTAGAATGAGCTTGTGACTTTAAATGAGCTTCATTATTCCACAATACTGTGAAATTTGGGAAATTATGTAATCACATAATCACAATAAAAAAATAAGGGTGAGAATAAAACAGAGGAAGGGAGAAAAGCTAGAGGAGAGGGAAAGGGAAGGAATAACATTAAGATAAATTTATCTTAGAAAAAAAGGCCTTTGGATGTTGGTTGAAAATGAACTGGTGTCTCTGTGTCCTAGAGTTGTGTACAAGGTTGTTTTCTAAATAGCAATTGGCCAGTGGTCCTAGCCTATTTTCATTCAGTCACCTGAAGAACATCCCAGTATGTCTTGGGGAAGAACATAATCTCAATTTGGAATCTTTCTCAAATTAGGATCCTTCTTTCCCCTTCCTTCCCAGAAGGACAAATCAAAATTGTTGTTACCCTGCCACTTGAGCCACACCTCCTCTACCTGCTTTTGGCTGATTCGTTGATGATTAAGAGTATCACAGATCTTCCTGCCAGGGCTTCAAACTTTGATCCTTAGATCTCAGCCTCCTGAGTAGCTAGGAGAACAGGCATGAGCCATTGTTGCCTGTTTAGAAACTTTGACTCAGAATCATTACTGGCCACATTACTATCACATAGTTGGTGCTTCACCAAGTTGTTTAAAATTAGCTATTGACTCTTTCCTCCTTCTCTATCCTGTTTTTCAATGACACCTCAAAGTGCAGAATCTTCCAGAATATCCTTCAAACTACAAAAGTACATTGGTTTAGAAAAATCTGCCTACTATGGAACCTCCAGAGGAAAAGCTAGAAAAACAAAACAGAAAGAATATTTTTGCTAGCTAGTTTCTTTTTGGGTTGTTTGTTTTGCTTTTGCTTTTCTGTTACAGGATGTTTTTTTACAAATTATGAGACACTTTCGATTTATATTTTCCACTCCTTGCTGAATTTAGGGGTTTTTTTGTTGGTTTTTTGTTTTGATTTTTTTTAATGCAATTACAGCGTGGTGTTGAGGAAACTGCAGCTGAATGCAGGAAACTAGGGGTTCAGGTGCACGCATTTGTGGTGGACTGCAGTGACAGAGAGGAGATCTACAACTCTGTGAACCAGGTGAGGCACAGCTCCTAAGCAGCAAAGGACTTTGTAACCACTGCCACTGATGTGGGAAAGGAAAATTAGACTGGAGGGCCGGATGATAGAAGGGGTGGCATTAATCAAGATTAATTCACATGTGGAATTTTAAACCCCTTTGTACAACCATTTAAAGATAATAAATAAATTAGTCTTAGCTACTCAGTGAACTAGCTGTGTGTGAGAGTATACATACACACACATATATATATGTATGTGTGTGTGTGTGTGTGTGTGTGTGTGTGTGTATATATATATATATATATGTGTCATGGATGGATGGACAGATAGATATTTATACATGCTTTTTGACTTTGTATGTAAGGCACACAACTCTGGCCATTGTGATTATTTGATATTATTCATCAATTTCATTCTGATCAGAACTTAAATAGTGACCTAGAGTAAATAACAAAAGATTTATCAGCAGGAAAATTGATTTTTTTCTAATTTTGAGTCCCATTATTTTTGCAGTATTTTTTCCTTCAATTGTTTCTTCTGCAAAATTTTATTTGTTTTGATTCAAATCTAATTTCCTATGTTAATAATTATGAAAATCTGTTTAAGAAATTTAAATACCAAGTACTCACAATTAACCAAACTGTTCAATTTTCATTCCTTTTTATTTAATTCAATTTAATTCACTAATCCTAATACTCATACTTCCTAGATAAGCAAATTAAGATTCAGAGAGGTTAAGCCAGACAAAAGTCATGGAGCCTATAAGTGGTAAAACAAGGATTATTCAGTTCGCACTTTAGAAGTATTTAATTAGGGCATGCGGTTGTGCTCAGTGGTTGAAAGCCTGCCTAGCAAGCATAAGGCTCTGAGCTCAAGCCCTAGTGCTGCCAAAAAAAGAAAAAAAAGAAAAAATTATTATGATAAATGAGATTATCATGATAAATGAGATAAAATGATTTATGCGCCAGTAGCACAAATACTAATTTTACTTTATTCATTCATTTCATTCATAAACTTTCAAAAAGCTCACGATAATACTAGTTACTAAAATGTAAATGTTTAAAAAAATTAGCCCATCTTTTTGACAGATTCCTTTATATCCACTATTGGAGCTAGAAGTTTTTTTCATGGCTGAACTCTTAAGAAGATACTTCACTCAGTAGAATTTAAAAAAAAAATCTATCCCTGATGGTGTTAGTCCCAAATCTTGAGTTTAAATAACAGGCCTCTTTCCATTTTAAAAGGTAAAGAAAGAAGTGGGTGATGTGACCATCATAGTGAATAATGCAGGAGCAATCTACCCAGCGGACCTTCTTAGTACTAAGGATGAAGAGATTACCAAAACATTTGAAGTCAACATCCTGGGGCACTTTTGGGTGAGTGTGAGTCAGAAATATCTCTGATGCCTGGGAATGTGGCTTAGTGGTAGAGTGCTTGCCTGACAAGCATGAAGGAAGCCCTGGGTTTTATTCCTCAGTACCACATAAACAGAAAAAGCCAAAAGTGGCACTGTGGCTAAGTGGTAGAGTGCTAGCCTTGAGCAAAAGAAGCTCAGGGACAGTGCCCAGGCTCTGAGTTCCCCAGGACCAGAAAAAAGAAATCTCTGATGCCTTCTTTCAGGATATATGAAGTTTATAATCAAGTTCATATATCTTCGGGTGGGAAATGGGCCACCATCAGATTTATTGGGTGGGAGAAATCCCAGAGTCTCTGACAGGAAGCAAGGGAGTCAAGTGGACACAGTGTACCAGGGTGTAAGCCACTTGGTCTGTCTTATCTACAAGTACCTAACCCAGAGCCTGGTATGAACCTGCTCTTCAACAAATGTTTATAGAGTTTTATTGAGTGTTGTCAATACATATTTCTTCAATACTTTAGAGAAATATATACAGTGTACCTTCATTTGTGACCTCCTTTTATGGAATTTTAGAAACAAAAAGATTTCAGATGTAGCTATTTTGATGTATACAAGGATTTGGTAGAACTCTGAGACTGATGGAATGAGACTGATGGAATTTAGAAATATGTAAGAACTCAGAAGACCTTTTACAGATGGGCACAACTGTTCATACCTGTTATCCCAGCTTCTCCAGAAGCGAAGATTGGGAAGATCACAGTTTGAGACTAGCCTAGGCAAAAATTAGTGAGACACTCTCATCTGAATAAACAAGCTGATTTTGATGGTTCATGCCTGTATCCCAGCTGCACAGAAGGCATAAATAGGAGGATTGTATTCTAAGGCTAACCTCAGACAAAAAGCGTGAAATCATATTTAAAAAATAACTAAATCAAAAGAGCTAGGTGCATGACTTAAGTGTTAGAGCCCCTACCTAGCAAACACAGGTTTTGAGTTCAAACTTCAGTAGTGCTAAGGGGAAGAGAGAGAGTTCAAACTCCATCACAACAATAATAAAAATAATAACAAATAATATATTAATAAATAATAATAATAAATAATACATATATTGTTTGGGAGTGGGGTATAGCTCTATGATACAGTGCTTGCCTACTATGCATCACTCCCAGCCACACAAACAACAATGATAATAATATACCAGGCTGAGCTGGTGCTGGTGGCTCATGCTTGAATTCCTAGCTATTCAAGAAGCTGAACTCTGAGGATCAAGGTTCAAAGCTGGCTTAGGCAAAAAGTCCGTGAGACAAAGTGGAGGTGTGGCTCATGTATTAGAGTACCAGCCTTAAGTGAAAAGGCCAAGCAAAACGCAGTTAGGTACCAGCTTTCTAGGTACTCTGACTGCTGAGATCTAAGGATCTCAGCCAGATATGAGTTCTGAAGCCAGCCCAGGCAGCAGAGTCCATGAGACTTTATCTCCAATTAATCACCAAAAAGCTGGAAATGTTGCTGGGGTTCAAGTGATTAAGTGTTAACCTTGAGAGAGAGAATAAAACCTCAGGGACAACCTCCAGGCCCTGAGGGGAAGGAAGGAAGGAAGGAAGGAAGGAAGGAAGGAAGGAAGGAAGGAAGGAAGGAAGGAAGGAAGGAGGGACGAAGGGAGGGAGGGAGGGAGGGAGGGAGAGAGGGAGGAAGGGAGGGAGGGAGGGAAGGAGAGAAGGAGGAAGGGAGGAAGGAAGGAAGGGGGAAGGAGAGAAGGGAGGGAAAAAGGAAAAAAGAAGAAAGAGAAAGACAAGACCAAGGCCATACCCAGAGTCCTTCTGAAGGAAGGGGTTCCTGGGGTGTGGTATATAGGACACAGCATTCAATGCTGGCTCAAACAATAAATATTTATTTTCTTTCTTTTTACCATTTGTGTAGACATGATCACAGAATCATATCATTGCAGAAGTTCTCTCAAATGTCATACTATTTAAACATAAAACTACCTGATTGGCAAACTCTGTATTGGTGTCATTGTTTCTCTTCTTCTTCACCAACTTTCAGATCACAAAAGCTCTTCTTCCATCCATGATAAGGAGAAATTATGGTCACATTGTCACAGTGGCTTCAGTGTGTGGCCATGGAGTGATTCCTTATCTCATCCCATATTGGTGAGTATTGCTTTCAAGTGGTGCCATTATTTCCTTACTTATCTTTTGAGCTGGTACTGGGGCTAGAATTTCTGACCTCAAGCTCTTGCTCAGGTAATTTGCTCATATGGCACTCTACGACTTGAGCCATGCCTCTAGTTTGAATATGTTGTTGGCCAATAGAAGGTAAGAGTCTATCAGAGGGCTGGGAAGGTGGCTCAGTGGTAGAGCGCTTACCTTGCATGCCTGAGGCCCTGAGTTCGACTCCTCAGCACCACATAAGCAAAAAGAAAAAAGCCAGAAGTGGCACTGTGGCTCAAGTGGTAGAGTGCTAGCCTTGAGCTGATGAGCTGAGGGACAGCGCCCAGGCCCAGAGTTCAGGCCCCACGACCGGACCCAAAAAAAAAAAAAAAACTTTCAGATTTGTCTACCAAGGTTGGCTTCAAACCTAAACCTAAAACTTAAGATCTCATCCTCTTGAGTAGCTAGTATTATGGGGTGAGCTGCCAACCTGGTATTATTTGTCTACTTTTATGTGTTCACAGCATTGTAATTCATATTTATTATAGCATTTCTAGTTTAAGGGAGAACAATTTTAAAACAACAAAACTAGATAATTGTATTTAAAATACTTTTTGATTTTCTGAAAACTTCTCTGTTGAACAATATAATAAAATGACATAGCCAGAAAGGATGGTTCTGTTATATGGTAGAACAAATAGATGTTGACAAAAGAATTAGGCAAGACACAGACTAAGGAGCAAACTATGCAGAAATTTGAACACAAATCTCCCTGAGAGCCTGGAAGCCCAAGATAAAGGGACCTCAGGATCAAAATATATTGCTGCATGAAGTAACAGCTCCTTTCTGTGTCACGCACGTGTGTGTGCATATATATGTGTGTGTGTGTGTGTGTGTGTGTGTGTGTGTGTGTGTGTGTGTGTGTGAACGAGAGAGAGAGAGAGAGAGAAGAGAGAGACTGAAACTGGTGGGTTCAAGTGATAGAGCAATAGCCTTGAGCAAAAAAAACAAGCAAACAATCACAAGGCCCTGAGTTCAACCCAGTACCAGCACCAAAAATAAATGAAAGAGAGAACCTCTACTTCATTAAAAGACACAGAGACTATACTCTGTGCCCTATGATGGACATTTTAAAAAGAGGGGATGGAAGTACTGTTATAAAAAGAAGGGGAAATTGGACATTGGCAGCTCACACCTGTACTCCTAGCTACTCAGGAGGCTGAGATCTGAGGATTGTGGTTCAAAGCCAACCCAGGCAGGAAAGTCCTTGAGACTCTTATTTCCAATAAACAACCAGAAAACCGGAAGTGGCACCGTGGCTCAAGCAGTAGAGTGTTAGCCTTGAGCTGAAGAGCTGAAGGACAGCACCCAGGCCCAGAGTTCAAGCCCCATGACCAACAAAAACAAAAGAAAAGAAAAAGAAGTGGATGGAAACACTGAATATGCTTCCCTTGTAAACTCTGGTAATATCTCATTTTCCTACTTCTGCTTTATATTAATTCAGAAATGTTCTACCAATGCATGAAATATCATTATGTATGGAAGAGGGACTTGAAAGTTGTTGATTTCTTTGTTTTATTTTTTAAAGTTGTTGATTTCTTATCTATTTATATATGCACATGCAAGATTAAATCTGGGCATGTAACAAATCATTTGTGGCAGGGCATGTACCCACAGATATATTTAAATTTCAATCCCTGTTGAAGGCAAAGCTGGGAGCAGCCCAGGGAGGAAGACTGGCATAGGGGTCACAGGAACTCAGAGGAGCGCCTGTGCAGGGCAGAGGAGGGTGCCATTGTAGACACATACAGCCTTTAAAGCTGCATCTAGTATCTTAAAACTCCACATACGAATTGTGCAGCCTAAGGCCTGGAAATGTGGCTCCAACCTGTAATCCTAGCTACTCAGGGGGTGGATGAGACCCAGAGGACTGAATTCAGAGCCAGCCCCAGTAGAAAAGTACATAAGACTCCATCTCCAAAATAAACAATAAAAGCCAGGCTGGGCATAGCTCAAGTGGTAGAGCACTAGCCATGAGCAAACAAGTTGCGTGAGCCTGAAACATTGTGTTCAATCCCAAGTGCTGGCAAGAAGTAAGTAAAATAAAGTGACTAGAAAACATTTTGAAACTTGAATGAATTGAATGGAAAATCTTTCATTAGGCTGGTCAATAAAGTTGTTATTGTTCTTTTACTATCATTAGTGTTTGAGAAATGAGTTACAGAGGCTGAGGGTGTAGCTTAGTGGTAAAGTAGATTCTTGGCATGTTCAAGGCTCTGGGTTCAATCGCTAGTACCAAAAAGAAAAGAAGAAATCAGAATTCTGTTAAATAATATAAGAAAATGAGAGTCTGTTTTATCCACTCAGGAAAATATCAATTAGAAGATTCTGGGTGTTTAGTTTCTTGTGGTGAAACAAATTGTACTGCTGCTCACAGGAAGCTAGGGTCTGTAGCAAGGTCCTGCTCCTTTAGTAACGATACTAGTGTGACTATCTTACAGTTCCAGCAAGTTCGCTGCTGTTGGCTTCCACAAGGGTCTCACCGCAGAACTTGAGGCTTTGGGGAAAACTGGAATCAAAACCTCATGTCTCTGCCCAGTTTTTGTGAATACTGGATTCACCAAAAACCCAAGCACAAGGTGAGAAAGAATCATAGGAAGATGAAAACATGGCATGAGATACTGGTAAGAAAATTATATGAGAAACTTGAAGCTGGTCAACTTAAAAAATGAGGGAAGCCAAATTTTTTTTTCTTTCTTGCGATTGTTTCTAACATATTTATAAGATGATTTCTTTGTTGCTTTGTATGTCCCTTCCCCATGGTATAACCCCTGCTTTCACTTTATTTGATGTTGGTATAATTTGTGGAGGGGAAGGGAAAAAACAAATCATTTAAATAGGGATACAGGTGGACCCATTGCAACAATGAGATGTACAAGAAGTTATTTCGAAAAAGGAACTTTACAACTTTGGCTGGAGGGGTTGGGGGAGTTAGGAGATGGGAAGGGATGGGAAGGGGAAACAAAGGAGGAGGCAACAATGCTTGATGAGAAATGTACTCATTACCTTGCCCATGTAATTGTAACCCTTCTGCACGGTATTTTCACAATAAAAAAAAAAGAAATAGACCACAGGGACATCAAGAGTTTTGAAGAGAACAGTTTTGAAGAGCCATATAAAAATAAAAGAATTAAATGAAGCCTAAGAACTGGCAGACATAAGAGAAAAGTTTCATTTTTGTAAATTGAATTAGAAATTTCTAGAAAAATGAAAAATGCAAGAAGAGCTGTACAATTCTTTTTGACACCTCCTTGGTACTGAGAAGTACCATGTGAATGTACATGTCTTGATTCTTTCCTAATTTATTGCAAAACAATCCCACACTCAAGGTTCTTAAGGGAAAAAATGACATTTTCAATGTTTGTCTTAATGGAAAAGATCACTTGAGAGTAAAGCTGTAGATTTGCTCAAGCACTTCATATACACAGCCCTTCTACATTCATGGTTTCAAACAAATCTGAAAATAAAAATGTTCTAGGAAAAACTTACAAAAATAAAAAAAATGAGGGAAGCTAGATGCTGGTAGCCATGCTTGTAATCCTAGCCACTCAGGAAGGTGAGATCTGAGGATTGCAGTTCAAAGGCAGCCCAGCCAAGAGAGTCTGTGAGACTCTTATCTCCAATTAACTACCCTCCCCAAAAAAAAGCTAGAAGTGGACCTGTGGTTCAAGTGGTACAGTGCTAGCTTTGAGCCCTGGGTTCAAACCTTAGGACCAGCACCAGACAAAAAAAAATGGGAGAAGAGTGCATTTTTCTTTTTACCAATATTATTCAGTTTGCTTTAACTCAATTGATTTTGAGTTAACTTCTGAAATTAAATGAGTGAAGGGGGTTGTCAAAAGCATATCCGGAGCCAGGCACCAGTGACTCAATACCTGTAATCCTAACTACTCAGGAAGCTGAGATCTGAGAATCATGGTTCAAAGCCAGCCCAGGCAAGTAAGTCCATGAGACTCTTATCTCCAATTAATCACCTCCCCCACACAAAAGCCAGAAGTAGAGCTGTGACTCAGGTGGTAGAATGGTAGCCTTGAGCAAAAGAAGCTCAGGGAGGGCTGGGAAAGTGGCTCAGTATTAGAGTGCTTGCCTTGCAGGCATGAGACCCTGGGTTCGACTCCTCAGCACCACATAAGCAGAAGAAAAAAAGCCAAAAGTGGCATTGGGGCTTAAGTAGTAGGGCACTAGCCTTGAGCTGAAGAGCTGAGAGACAGTGCCCAGGCCAAGAGTTCAGTCCCCATGACCAATCAAAAAAAGAAGTAGCAGCAGCTCAGAGACAGCACCCAGACCCTGAGTTCAAGTCCCAGGACTAGTACACACACACACACACACACACACACACACACAGCACATTAAAAGGATCGACCAACTACCAAGAACTTAGCAATTGGTATTTATTTGTGCTCAGGAAAAGGATTAACCCACATTCAGGTATCAGGCATAGGTAAGAGGGGGTGTTGTGAAGATGAATGTCTAGGGGAATAGGTGGGCTGAAGATGCTTATCTAGGAGAAGGAAGGGAGTTTTCTAGCCTGAGAACCAGGCCTCCAGACGGAATCTTAAAATCCCTTTCCCTCAGTGTTATCCTCCAAAAGGTGAAGCAAGGTGAGACCACACATCTCTTCTACAACTTCCATAGTGCAATGCCAACACACAGTCCTCCAACATTTTCCAAACTTGATTGATCCTCCAAAACTTAAACTTACCTGAGATGCTTATGGGCTCTCCCATGGAGATTCTGCTTTAAAAGACTTGGATGAGTGCAAGAGCAAAATGTTTCTGTTTGCTTTATTTCCATGGTGTTCTACATGGGAGATGAGGGGAGGAGGGAGGTGACTTTTCTGCGCTGAGTTCTGGAATACTCTCAGTCCAAAGTCCAATATAAAGGAAGTGAGGGTTAAAATCATGACTGAGTGCTTGCTTTGGATCACATATTGGGCTGAGCAATTTTAGTGATAGTATGAAGTTCTATAGTTACAAGTATGAGCTTTAGAGTCATACTTCCTGAATTTGAATTCTAACCCTAGCATCACTAGCATCTGTAGCAACCTGAGAAATATTCTAACTTCTTTCTGTTTCATATTCCTGATTTATAAGATTTACACAATTATAAACGCTGCCTGTCTGATTGGATTGTTATGAGGGTAAGACTATATGATACCGGAAAGCCTTAAAAACACCTAAGTTTTTGATCAGTCCAGTCAACAAATAAATCCTAGGTCAAAATTTTTCTGTATGCCAATACTGGGTGGGGCTTGAACTCAAGGCCTAGGAGCTGTCCCTTAGCTTCTGTGTTCAAGGCTGGTGCTCTTCTATATAAGCCATAGCTCTACCTCCAGCTTTTTGGTGGCTAATTGGAGATAACAGTCTACTGAACTTTCCTTCCTAAGCTGGCTTTAACTTCAATCCTCATATCTCAGCCTCCTAAGTTACTAAAATTATAGGCATGAGCCACAGATACCTGGCCTAAGTGCAACTTTTGTGAAAAGGTTGATTTTGTTGCTCTTATTAATTTAGAAAAATTAAAATTAAGAGAATAGGTGTGCAGTTCGGTGGTAGGACACATACTTACCATAGGTAAGGCTCTGGATTTAATCCCCAGCACCAAACTAAATAATAAAGAGGACAAAAATAGAAATAAATATATTTTCTTTTCCTTCATAGATTGTGGCCGATTTTAGAGACAGATGAAGTTGCAAGAAGGTTGATGGATGGAATACTTACCAACAAGAAAATGATTTTTGTTCCATCATATATCAATATTTCTCTAATCCTGGAAAAGTAAGTGGAGCACAAAACATCCGAACTATTAAGACACACATAGAACTATTATTATGGACAGTCTTTCATTGTGAAAGTTGCCATGGAAACTCTCCATCCTTAGGTAAAGAATTACATTGCTTCTATTATTGCCTTATCTATTCTAAAAAAAAAAAAAAAAAAAAAGATTCTTTTTTCTACATCTACCATTTCTACCCAATCTTTGCTGAAAACTATTCAGACTGAAGGAAAAATAGTGCTGCTATTGTTTGAGGGATTTTTTTATTAATATCTTTGCATAGTTGTACAATGAGATGTCAGATCAATGTATCCGTTTATGAGTACACTCATCTAATAGATGTTGCCCTTCCATCATTCTCCACCTCTGCCAACCCCACTCACATCCTCAAGTTACCTTGTCCCATTTTCACCTGTGTCCATAGAGAATTATGAGTCCAGTTGCCCACCCTTCCTCTCTCCATTAGTCTGCCCTTTCATCCTTTGACCTTCCTCACTCCTTGTCCTTACTCCTGACAACATAGGTCCCAGTGTCCTGGTATTCACTGTTAAACTATTAGTTGTTCAAAGGAGTTACACCATTGGAATTCTCCCCTCTGTATACCATGCTTTAGTCAATTTGTTTATACATATACGCATATGACCTGTATACATTTTCATTTGTTTATAAATTAGATTTAATTTCCACATATGGAAAATTCATTTTAAGAGAGCATAATATAGTATCATAGCTAACAAAGGCTCTATTTTTTTTTTTTTGTTTTGGTCAGTCATGGGGCTTGAACTCTGGGCCTGGGCACTGTCCCTGAGCTCTTTAGCTCAAGGCAAGCACTCTACTGCTTGAGCCACAGCTCCATTTCCAGTTTTCTAGTGGTTTATTGGCGATAAGAGTCTCATGGACTTTCCTGCTGGCTTTGAACAGCAATCCTCAGATCTCAGCCTCCTGAGTAACTGGGATTACAGGCGTGAGACACCGGCGCCCAGCAAGGCTCTATTTTTGGGGGGGGTGGGGTCCAGTTGTGGGGCCTGAACTCTGGGCCTGGGAGCTGTCCCTCAGCTCTTCAGCTCAAGGCTACCACTTCTACCACTTGAGCCACAGCGCCACTTCCGGTTTTTTTCTTTTTGCTTATGTGATGCTGAGGAATCGAACCCAGGGCCTCATGCATGCAAGGCAAGCACTCTACCACTGAGCCACCTTCCCAGCCCCGAGGCTCTATTTTTTTAACAGAAAATTTTGATTGGAATTTCTTTGATTCTGTAGATCAGTTGGGGGAGAATTGACATATTAACAATATTGAATCATCCAATCCAAGAACACAATATGTCTTTTTCTTTAAGAAATACTCCTTAAAATTTTTAGACAACTTTTCAGTCTTTAGTGTTCAAGTGTCACACATCTTTTTGTCAGATTTATCACAAAGCATTTCATGGTTTTGATGATGCTATTGCAAATAGCATTTTATAAAAAAAATTTCTTGGGGCTGGGAAGGTGGCACAATGGTAGAGTGTTTGCCTGGCATGCATGAAGCCCTGGGTTCTATTCCTCAGTACTACATAAACAGAAAAAACCAGAAGTGGCAATGTGGCTCAAGTGGTAGAGTGCTAGCCTTGAGCAAAAAAAAAGAAGCTCAGGGTCAGTGCCTAGGCCCCACAACTGCAAAAAAACAAAAACCTTCCCCATTGTTGGCTACTAGTATCTATTTGATTTTTGTATTTTGAGCTTACATTTTGCAATCTTGCCAAACTTTTAATTTTCTTTTTTTTTTTTTAAATTTAATTTAATTTTATTTGTGAACATACTGTACAGAGGAGTTACAGTTACATGGGCAGGATAATGCGTACATTTCTTACCAAGCATTGCAGCCTCCTCCTTTCAAACTTTTAATTTTCTAAGCTTTTCTGGAGATCCCTACAGATCATTTTACACAATAATCATATTACCTATGACTTGCCCTTTTTCATTTCTTCTCTCTATTCACCAGGATAAGAAAGGGTATGAATGCAAGTGCACTTCCTGATCTAAGAGAAAAGTGTTCACGACTGAGTAAAAAAAAAAAAACAGCTATGTATTTTCCTCACAGATGCCCTTTATCATGTTAAGGAATTTCCTTTTTATTACTACTTTTTGTTGTTGTTGTTTTTGTTTTTATGTCAATCGCGAGCCCTGAACTCAAAGCCTGGCACTGTCGCTGAGCTTTTGGGCACAAGGCTAGTCTTTTATCACTTGTGCTGTAGCTCTATTTCTGACTTTTTGGTGGTTAAGTGGAGATTGAGTCTCCTAAACTTTTTACTGGGACTGGCTTCAAATCATGATCCTCAGATGTCAGCCTCTTGAGTAGCTAGGAATACAGCTGCAAGCTACCAGCACTTCGATGAGAGTTTTATCAAAAACTCTTTTTTCTTTTTCTTTTGGTGGGGGTGGGAGACGGATGAACTGGGATTCTAATTCCGGGTCTTGTACTCTCTTGTCAAGCTCTCTACCACTTGAGCCACTCTTCCAATCCTACATTGATTCATTTTAAAGGACAAACCAATCAAGAAATGCCTTTCCCTGACATTGTTTCAGAGTAATACAGGCTTCATAGACTGAATTGAACAGTAGTCTCTCTTCCTTTATCTTCTGAAATAGTTTGTGTGGTATGGTACTATTTCTTCCTTAACCAAATCCACATGGCCCGTAATATCTCCTCCTCCTCCCCCTCTTCTTTCAACTTCTTTGGTTATTTCTTCTTCCTCTTCCTTCTCTTCCTCTTTCACCCTCTTCAATAATTTCTTCATCCTTATTTTCTCTACCTCTTTATCTTTCTCCTCTTTGTTTTTCTGTAATTTCTTCTTTTTATCTTTCTAGTCCTCCTCCTCCTTTTTCTTTTTTTTTTTTATTTTTTTTTCTTTTTTGTTTCTTCATTTTTGTTTTATCTTCTTGAGACAAGTTCTTGTTATATAACCCAGACCTGTGGTTTTCTGTCTGTGTGTGTGTGTGTGTGTGTGTGTGTGTGTGTGTGTGTGTGTGTGTGTGTGTGTGTGTGTGTGTTGGTTCCAAGGCTTGAACTCAGGCTCTCAGGCTTACTTTCCTTGTTGCTCATGCTGTAATTTTCTTTCTTTCTTTCTTTCTTTTTTTTTTTTGGTATGAAAACTTGGCAGAGTTTTATTAAGTAAACAAGCAAGGAAACAGACAAAAAAGCAGACAAACAGAAGGGCAGCAGCACACTCTAGCAGGGTGTGGGTGCTCTCATAGGGACACAAAGACACAGACACAGACACACACAAGGAGATACACAGAGAGACCACCTGTAATTTCCTTAATGAAAAAAGTTTTATTACAAACTTAATATCTTTAGTAGAGATATTAAAAGTAACAGTAAGATTCTTTGCCTTGAACTCTACGTTGATATTAATATAGTTAGTATATTCTTTCATCCTTCTACTATTAACCTCTTTGACTAAAACAGGTCATATTTTTTTTGACATGTGGTAGTTGAATTTTATTATCCCTTCAATAAAGTCACCTGAGAACTTAAGTAGTTTTCCAGATTTTCACATCAAGTCAGATCAGTGGGTCATTCAGAGAAAACGACAGAGGAAAATGGGTTCCAACTCATCATTCCATAACCCTTAGTTCTCCTTTATTTTATTATTCTTTTAATATTCATATACTGATTAGTTACATATTGACTTCCAATCCAGTTTTTTGCTGTTTAATTGGAGATAAAAATTTCACAGATTTGACTGCCCAGGTTGGCTTTGAACAGTGATCCTCAGATCTCACTCTCCTGAGTAGCTAGAATTATAGACATGAGCCACCAGCACCCAACATACAAGCTGATTTTTAATATACCTTTACAGGACATGTCATACACATCTAATGGAGAGACAGACAGACATTGGGGAAGAAAGGCAAGCCAGATAACTCGGGGCATTTTGATTGACAACAAAACAAAAGAAAGACCATGATGGTAAAGATTTTAAATTGAAATTTTTCCATCTCTTCTCAAATGCAGGTTTCTTCCTGAACGTGCTTTGGCAGCTATAAGTCGTGTACAGAATATTCAGTTTGAAGCACTAGTTGGTCAAAAAACCAAGAAGAAATGAAGTATACCAGAGATTTATGCACATTTATTATCTGAATCTAAGTTTAGAATCAATGCTCCAATTATTTTTCCCTCAGTGCTATTAATATTAAAAATATTGGTTTGGCATTACCTGCAATTGAATAAATGGGACTAATTGTATTTCTATTTTTCAAAAATAGAGAACCATGAGAAATAAAGTCTTACTACTTATAAGTAACTCACTCTGTGGTGTTTGTTCCGGCACAAGAAAGAGATTAAGACAGTGTCTGTAAGGAATTAAATGGAAAGGTAATAACTGTCGTTGCATAAATATTGCAAATTTATGCAAACATTTTATGAAACAAATTACTTAATATTACTAAAGCTAAAGGGTAAAATGATTAAAATATTGTATTCCAAAAGGTTACAATGATGTTTGTTTTGGGTTTTTTTTGTTCAGTCGGGGGTGGCTTGAACTCTGGGCCTGGGTGCTGTCCCTGAGCTCTTCAGCTGAAGGCTAGCACTCTACCACTTGAGCCACAGTGCCACTTCCAGTTCTCTGAGTGGTTTATTGGAGATAAGAGTCTGATGACTTTCCTGCCCAGGCTGGCTTTGAACTGCAGTCCTCAGATCTCAGCCTCCTGAGTTGCTAGGATTACAGGCGTGAGCCACCAGTGCTAGGCATGATGTCTGTTTTGATGGAGGTAATTTAAAATTAAAAACAAGTGCTTCAGAAAACGTTTTATCACAAATAAGCTTTAATTTACAAGTGATCTACACATACCAGATTATACAACAGAAAGTAATTTTCTTCGTTTTCTATTTTGACATGAAAAATTTAAAAAACCATAAAGTCATAGTCACAAACAGGATACTCTGTCTCCTAACAATATATGACTATTCACAATACTAACATAATGATTTAACAATCAGCAATTCTGTCAGGTTGAGTATTACAGTAAAGACAAAAATGCAAAAACCTAAGGGAAATTATATCAAAATTGCCTTTGTTACATCAAATAAAAATGCGAATATTACTGAGTACAGATGAAATTGTAACATACACTTACAGAGTAGTTTAAATGTTATGCTAGTGATACACAATAGGCACACAGGAAATGACAAACTCCTTATGCATATCTGCAAACCTCAGCCTGGAAAATAGATGGATGGAGAATTTTGACATTGCTGTGATGGAAATTTGTTTTGTTTCATTCCTGTATGCATTTTCCTTAAAGTTCTATTTTTCCTCGTAACATGGTTGTAAATAGTTAAGCCATTTTATTTATCTAACCTGGTAAGAGAAACTTTCACACAGACTTGCTGTTGTGAAATCTCAACACCTTGTTCTTTACTTTAGAAAGACCTTGAATGGACTTGGGTGTTATTTTTTTCTCCCCTATTGGGCAAATACTAAATACTTAGTCTATAAACTGGCTTTAAATTATCAAATTACACACTTGTTAAGATGTAATCCTCCCCAAAAATAAGCCCCAGTATTAAGTACAAAAAAGAAAACTTCCTGGATTTTTGTTGTCATTTCTTTGTCATGTTTTTGGTGCTGGAACTTAAGTTCTAGGATTTGGCATGTGCCAAGTAGGCATTCTAACAATGAGCTACAAAACTTGGTGTTTTGGTCTGGGAAGGTGGCTAAGTGGTAGAACGCTTGCCTTGCATGCATGAGGCCCTGGGTTCGATTCCTCAGCACCACATAAGCAGGAAAAAAAAGCCAGAAGTGGCTCAAGTGGTAGAGCCTAGCCTTGAGCTGAAGAGCTGAAGGTCAGCACCCAGGCCCAGAGTTCAGGCCCACGACCAGACCCTGACAAAAAAACTTGGTGTTTCAATTCTAGCTTTCATTTTAAACCCATGAATACTGTCAAGATACTCAAGGATTCTGACTGTACTTCTTCAGTGATAACTACACATTCAAGACTTATCCAGAGTATATAAGAAAACCTGAGTGATAAATTTGATTTCTGGTCATGATAAATTTATCATTAAGAATGTTAGAACATAACAGAATATTGTATCTTCCATCTATGTCTTGTCTTGAATTCTTTAGGCCTTCAGTGATTCGAAGTATTGATCTCTTTCATGCTGACTGCAACCTTGTCTCCTGTATACTCCCTGTAGCTCAAGGTCATGAGAGACAGAACAAGGTAAGCAATCTCATTTGTATGAGGAATGTTTGTCTGCCATTTAGGAGAGCTTAAACCAAGCAAGGAGAACATAGCATCATTGCATCCAAAAAAAAAAAAATCATTTCTTTGAGCCAGTGGCTTGAAATGGCTCATGCATGTAATCCTAAATACTCAGGAAGCTTAGATCTGGAGGATCTCAGTTAGAGGCTTGCCTGAGAAGAAAATTTCACTAGGTTCCATGTCCAAAATAAGCAGTTTAAAAAAAAAAAAAAAAAAGGCTGCACATGGATTTTAAGTGGTAGAGCACCAGATGAACAAGCTTCTGAGTTAAAACACTAGTACTTCAAAAAAATTATTTGTTTGTGTGGAAAAACAATAATCTTGAATGCCCTCGGGAAAGATAGACGTAATCAAGCAGTGCCTGACCCCATGACATAGAATTCAAGAGGGCATGGGGTAACTGTCCCAAATCCCAGTGGAAAGGGCATAAAGGCATCTTCTGCCACCCCTGCAACCCTTAACTGCTACAGAACAGAAGTGACCCCAATGCTCTGAACACAGATAATAAGATGGATACACAGGCCCATGTGTGTGGTTTAAACAGTGAACCTTGGATATTCCAGGACCCTGAACTTGACCTATGTCCTCTATGAGTGAGAATCACTCAAAAGCAACATGTCAGTTGTGTGTCCAGCAGCCAGATTTCACATGATCCAGGCTACCCACTTAAGAACAGAGCCTGGGAACAGGGCCTCAGTAGAAACTTACGCATATAAGTCTGAGTTCACTGGGATATCTTGTCAATACTATACACAGAAAAAGAGAGCACATTCCAAAGGGGACAGACAGAAACAAATCTAGAAGAAGAGTTAGAAAATTTCAAAGAAGGGGCTCTAAAGAATGAGGGGGCCCTAGGATACAGTTCCAGCTCCTTGCTTGACAGGTCTGAGTGATTCTGCCAATCATTTCTGCCAGTCCTAGGCATAGCTTAAAGGAGCACCAAAGAAAAATGTTCAGTTCATCTCATGTATAAGCTTTATATGACAAGCAATGATGTTTCCAAAGGCAAGATTTCCAGCTAACATTTGCCTTCTCCATTTGCACAAGAAACAATACCCAAAAGAATTATGTCAGGGCTGCTCACTGCCTAAAAACCATCACAAGAAAGCAAGTGGGAAATGTAAAACTGTTGGCAACTACCCCTGACTTAAAACCTCAGAATCTACAGGGGTTTTTTTAATTTGTTTTTATATTTGACAGTACTGGGATTTAGACTCAAGGCCTTGCATTTACTTGCTAGACAACTACTCTACCACTGAAGCCACTTCTCCAGCCAAGAATCTGAGTTGTTCTTGTTTTTGTCTTTAAGATTTCTACCTTATGCTGGTGTCTCATACCTGTAATCTTAGCTACTCAGAAAACTGAGTTCTGAGGATCACATTTTGAAGCCAGCCCAAGTGGAAAAGTTCATATCACTTTATCTCTAATTAACCACCAAAAAGCTAGAAATGGAGCTGTAACTCAAGCAGTAAAATGCCAGCCTTGAGTGAAAAAGCCAAATGAGAGTATGAGGCCCTGAGTTCAAGCCCATTACTAGCCCAGTAAACAAACAAACAAACAAATATTATGCCTATGTAATTCATAATGCCCTGAAATTGCTTTTTGTGACATTAGCTTTGAATTTAGTGCAGTATCATGTGAAATTGGCTGTTCTAAACATTATCTCAACTCCAGCACTTACCTTTCTGTTTTCTTTCTTGACAAATAATGTGAAAAACCTTGAGGACAGACTCCCAAGCCCTGTTGTAAGCATCTTTTCCTACTCTGTCCTCTATGCTTCCTCTTGTAGCTAAGTGTTGTTACATACCAATTCACTTCTCTTATGCCAGATGTTTGCTAAAAAAACATCTTTAGGTTGGATCTATTACATATGATGAAATTTGCCTAAGAGAAGCTTACAGCAAGTATGAGTTGTAGGAAAGTTTCATGACATGTATTTGATGGAACTTTTATAGCACCAGTAATCACAACTTCTAAGAAAAACATTTTCTGGCTCGCCTAGGTTCTAATCATGTCTCATTCAACTTGCTCACACCCAGTTTGCAGTTAGAGAAAGAATGTTTATAAATTCAGATCAAAACACTTACAAAGCTGGGCACTTGTGGCTCATGCCTGTAATCCTAGGTACTCAGGAAGCTAAGATCTGAGCATCACAGTTTAAAACCAGCCAGGAAAGTCTGTAAGATACTTATCTCCAGTTAACAACCTAAACGCTAGAAATAGAAGTGGTACAGTACTAGCACTGAGTGAAAAAGCTAAGGGACAGTGACCAGGACCTGAGATCAAGGCTTAAAACTAGCACGCACGTGCAAGCACACACAAACACACACACACACACACACACACACACACACACACACACAAGACAAAGAAAACCCACAAAAAGCAAAAGGAAAACCATAAGATCAACTTGTTTAAGACTTAAATGTTACCAAACAACTTCAAACCTAATTCGAATAACTGGAGGGTTTGTTAGTTCGTTAAAATCCCTTCTCTTTTAAGGCCTTTTTAGGCTTCACACTCTGCCACACTGGTTCTTGACTCTAACTCAACTCAGTTCCTAAGCTACATTTACATTTTCTGTTTTTAGTTATACCAACAGCACCATTTCTTAGTACCAAGTTTCTGTATTAGACTGTGTTTTGATAATGCAATGAATAACTGAAACTGTAGTGTCTGTGTGTTTATGTGTGCGCGCGGGTGCGCACATGTGTGCATGCTAGCACTATCAAACTCTGGTTCACGGTGCTCTACCTTAGCCTTTTCATTCAAAGCTAACACTCTACTGCTTCCAGCTCCACTCCCAGCTTTTTGGAGATAAGTGTATCGAGGTCTTTTCTTCCTACGCTGGCTTTGAACTGAGATCTTCAGAGCTCAGCTTCCTGAGTAGCTAGGATATAGATGTGAGTCCTACAAGACTATATTATTATGAAAAAATAAATGTATTCCTTCTAGTTCTGGAGACTTGGAGTTCCAAGTGCTCGGGTGCTGGCATCAGCCAGGGCTCTTCTGCTGTGGCATAATGTAGAAGAG